GCTTCCTTTAGGGGTAAAACCTGACTATGTGATCCGCTCCCTAAAAGGCAGTAAAGTGTAACTCTCTCAGACTTCTCTATCTGCCAATATGGAGAAACAACCTTGAGCCTAGAAGAGTTTGTTCCTGAGCTAACTGTATCCACTTGCAAAACACACAGTCATAAAATCAGATTGCAAAGAAACACCTCTTTGAGCCCACCTCACAGCCCCGTTCTCCTTCTCCCACATCAGTAGTGCCAAGTTCCAGCTCTCGATGCTCCCCTCCTCTTCCCATTAAGGCCCCTGCTTCCTCCCACTTGTCCCCGCTCCCCACCGACTAGATTCCCTCCCCTTAAGTGGTGTGAGGTAACATTACAACACTATCCACCATAATCTCACATCATGTAACTCCCCAGAGACCACTTCCGAGACCTGCGCTTTTAGGAATAAAAGGCTAAGAGCAAATGGAAGTTACATGAGGAAGTTAAAATTCCTTTGTGCCTCGGGACTGAGCCCTCGGCTGCCATTCCTGCCTGTGTGAGGATGTGGCCTCCTCCTCTGGTTCCGGATACAGAGGAGCGTATGGGCGTGAGCAAGACATGTGTCTGGTCTCCGCCATAAACCTTTGCAGCCTGGCAAGAAACAGCGAGGCTTATTCCAGACCCAAATTCTCATTCCTGCTACAGCCATCATAAACGCCTGCTGACACCAAAGAAGAACAAGCCTGTAATCCTCATAAAAGAACATCTTTGAACCCTGGAAACCAAAGAGGGATATGGATGCCAGTTTTTAAACCGACATTCCCTCTGCTCCTGGGCTAGATCGGACACTGAGGAAGCAGGTGACTGCCTTCGAGTTATGGGTTAGAGGCTGCACACTGGCCTCCCTGTTCCGCACATCTCCCCCCACCCCCCGCCGCCCCGTGGCTGGGCAGATGGCCTGGAGTTCCCACAACTTGTGGTTAAGACATTGTCTCCAGAAGGCTGTGTGTAGAATGGAAATATGTGACATGAAAATCAACATGTTAAATCATTCCAGCAGTGTGCTGGATCCAGCTCACAGGGGCCTGAGAGAGCCAACTATGTGCATCTCTTCCCAACTCCACATTCCCATCACACTGAGAGCCTGAAATCAGCCAGTGGTGCCTTGAAATCACCAAATGCTGCAAATCAGGGCCTCCCCCCGCTTTGAGAAAGATGAGTGTGAAGCCTTTACTGCACACCACCAGTTAGCACCCACTTTGATCCATTATCATTTGGTAATAAGACAGGTTTATGCTACTGCCAAGGACTAAAGTCCAGGTGGGCCTTGAGTACGGAAGGCACAGGGAGTGAACCAGCATGGCAGGTGAGCGTGCTGTTGCAACTGTCTGGAAGCGGCCAGGGGTAGTGAATGCCTTGGGGAGGAGTGAGCAGCATGTCTCCTTCAAGGTTTTGCCAAAGGTTGGCCTGCCTTGTAGATTTTAGCCACAAGTAGAGGATGCAGTGAGCATTGCCTATCCTAGGATGCTAGCGGAAGAAACGTGGGCTTTAGGCCCTTTGTTGCCCTAACAAACTGTATCATCTCTGAGCCTCACTTCCCTTAACTATAAAATTCAGCTAACTGTACTCCTTTGATGGGATTTGTGAAGGATTCGGAGAGATACTGTTTGTAAAGTACTTGCCCTTAACAGAAGTTCTAATATTGGTAAATTGATGGACACTTCACTGCCCCCTTCTTATTCTGCTTCTCAACAGTATTTGTCACGTTCAGTCAATCTGGACCTGAAATCTTCAACCCCTCTGGCTTCTGAAACTCCACGGCTTTCTTCATTTTCCTTCTTCTCTGATCCTGCCTTTATTGGGTTTTTCTTCTCTAATCCCTCTCAAAACTGAATCCGGGCCCTTCTTCTCTCCTTTCTCCCCACAACCTCATTAGGCAATCTCATCTAGTCCCATGGATTTAAATGTTATCTTCATGCTGATGACTTCCAGACTCCTAGAATTATCCTCTGTCTAGACCAGTGATTCTTCAAGTAGGAACCCTGGACCAGCAGGAACAGCATCACCTGGGAACTTGTTAGAAATGCAAATTCACAGGCCCCACCCAAACCTTCTTAACCAGAAACTCTGGAGGTGGGCCCAGCAATCTGTTTTATCAGGCCCTGCAGGTGTTTCTGATGCTCCCTGAAGTTTGAGAACTACTGGCACAGGCTAACATATTTAATAGCCTTATTTACAACTCTACAGAAATATCAGACTCAATACACCCAACGCAAAACTCCTCTTCCCTCCCTAATTCTGCCCTCCTACCATGTCCTCAGAATTGCTCCCCTGAGACAATGGCATTATCATCCACACATTTGCTAAACCTGGAAATCAAGACGATCCTTCCCTTGTCCCAGCTTCCTCAGCTCACATCTAATCCATTAGCAAATTCTATTAATTCTATCTTTGAGTTATAACATAAATTTGCTACTTTCTCCATATTTCCCTCACCATCACCGTAACCGGGACCACCATCAAATCTTGCTTGTTCAAGCAACACCAATGCAACCTTTTCTACCTGCTTCTACTCTGGTCCCCCTCTGACCCATTCTCTCTGTCGCAGCAAGAAAGCTAGATCTTCTTAAAATGGAATTTGGCTCATGTTACTCTCCATCCTAAGATATGTTTTGGTTTCCTTTTACACCTGGGATAAAATCCAAACTCTGTACTATGGTTTCCATGGCCCTGCAAGGCTTGACTCCTCCCCATTTCTCTATTACCTTACCTAGTAGCACTCTCTCCCTCCCCTACTCTGTCCCACACTCACTGGTTTTCTCTCAGTTCCCTGAATGGGCCAATGCCTTTCTGCCTCCGGGACTCTGTTCTTCTGTCTGGAATGTTCCTCCTCATCCTGTGAGTGGATGGCTGCTTCCCATCCTCACAGTTTCAGATTAAACGTCACCTCCCCTTTGTGTCCTTCCTTACTACCTATTAAAGTCCCCTCCACGCCCCATTATTCTCTCTCATCACCTTTTCATTTCCTTCCTGGCACATCTGCAGTTTGTTAGTTTTCTATTCAGTTATTTACTCTCTGGTTGTTGGTTGTGTTTTGTTTTTCTCTGTCCCCCTCACCTTACCATCTGAATGTAAACTCACAAACTCACAAGGGAAGGGGGCTTATCAGTGTTCATCACTCTCAGTGTCTGACATGGTGAACGATGCAGACTGGGTAGCAGTTGTGTTGCCATTATTATTAACATGTGGAAAGAAGGGCAATCTGCTTTACTCAGTTTATCAATTCAAATATTAATCTCATGCAGAAATATCCTCACAGACACACTCAGAGTAATATCTGACCAAATGTCTAGGCCTGCTATGGCCTAGTCAGACTGATACATAAAATTAACCATCACACCACACTACTGATAAAACTTAGAAAGATTAAGACCCTTGCACTATAGTGAAACCAGGATTTGAAATCCATGTATATCTTACTCCAAAACTCAGTTACTATCAATTTTATTCATGATTCCCAAGCTCAGTGTGTGTTACAAAGAAGATGCTCTTCATTTCTTTCTTTGTCCAGAAGTAAATGTTTTGATCAAGGCTAACCCAAATACATTTTGTGGTACAAGAGCTTCTGCTCCAAGAAAACAAGACAAAGCACCAGTGAGGGTAAGGAGAGCGAATGGCATTTCTGAACTTGGGTTCCTAAACACAGACTGAAGATAAAACTATTTTTTTTTTTTTTTTTTTTGCTCTCTTGTTCATAGGAATTAAAGCTCTCAAATGATTCATCACTGTAGCAATAGCTGGCATATCAAAGGTACTCAATAATTGTTTGCTACAATAGACAAGCAAACAAATGGAAACAGGATGTTAATTTGAAATTTTCTACTGAGGCACCAAGATGAAACAGGAAATCCAGCAGAAGGTGCTAACCAAGATGTAAACACTTAAAGAAAATGTTAAGAACTAATTTCTCAACTGTGGATGTGTTCACATATAATGCGGGCTTAAAAGGGCAGAGACAAGGCCTCCATGAGGTTCTGATTCACTGGGCTTTCGGATCCAACCCTTGAAAGTGCCTAAAGTGGGGCTTTGGAGAAGAGGATTTCCTGGGGTCCACTTCTGACTGTGGCTCTCACTGCTTAGCCCTCCTGCCACTAGGGCGGGGGGGGGGAGAGAGAGAGAGAGAGAGAGAGAAGTACCTGCTCCTTATCCTAGTTCTAGTGAAAGGGGCTCCAAAGGGAGCATCTGGAGAGCCTGATGGGTGTTTTTCCAAATAGTAATAACTGCAAGCCAGTGCTGTGAGAGCCCCCCAAATGTGTGAAATCCACAGAAGAATGCTGTCCCGATGTCCTTAAAAATGGAGCCCTGCCCTGTCTAAATAAGCTTCTGCCAGAGATCAGACGAAACTGGAAGAATGCAGAGGCGAAGCAATCGGTAAGGCTGCAGAGTGACCAGCCAAAGAAGGGACACTGCCCACTTCAGAGGAGTTGAACTTGAAGAGGCCCTGCAGGGGAGCCTCTGAGGAACCCACAGAAGAACTTACAAGGTCCAGAGATGGCAAAGTCAGCTTATGACAGCAACGGTCAAGTGAGAACCTGTCAAGTCCCCTGTCGTCCCCGCCGCTGGGTCCTCTGCATAGTCAGGGGCGCGAGGAGGAGAAATGGGAGGCTGGTCAGAAACGGACAGCGGTCCCTCGTCCCCTCGGAAGGGTCCAGCAGAAGCACGACTCAGCCAGGGGAAGAAAGGTGCTTCAACCTGACACAAACTCAGACTGCGATTACTCCATAGGACTGGGCAATGAATTACTCAATTGAAGCCACGATTACGACACAAGTGACTGCAGGGTAGCCCCCCCCCGCCCCCGGAGTGATCGGTGAACCAGCGCAGCCAAGATTTTAATCAAGAGTTTGAAAGTGGGGCTAGCTCTGCTAAATAAACGTTAATTCTCCATGAGTCTAGCTTCATCAGCATACTATTTACAGAATGAAACAATGACGAATATATGAATCAATAAACCACGCCCCAACAATTTCCAAAGCTAACCTGTCCACTGTGGGGAGCGCATTCCGAATGCTGCATCCTTTCAGATCCCACTTGTCTGTAGCCTCTGCTAGTGGAGCTCTGAGATAAATCCAGGAGAACATCCTAGAGAAACAAGGAGGTAATTTTATTGATTATTTAGCCAAAAGCGAAGACAGCTGAAAAGCTTTTGAATTAAAGAAGTCAGATACTTATAAAAACAACCCTCTTCTCCAATATTCCAACTCCCCTCCCCAAAGACGATCCAAAGTCAGCAATTTGGTCTGTAAATTTCTAGTCCTTTCTCTATACATTGGCATAAATACAGGGACAGGTAACCATATACATTTTGATGCTCATTTGCTTTTTTTAATGGAGTCACAATATACGTGTTATTCGATATACTTGTTTTGACTGAACGTGTTTTCCTTTTTAACAGGTGCACATAATACTGATATAATTTATCCAACAACATTTCTACTGATGGATCTTTAAATTGTATAAAGAGGAATTTTTTCTAACATCTCTGCAGGCACAAATATTTCTTCAATGTAGAATCCTTGTTGGGTCAAAGATCCATTCGTGTAGACAGATACTGCCCGAAAGATATCAATTTACATTTCTACCAGGACTGTCTGATGGCATTTACTTCCCCCACACACTTGCTGATGTTGGATATTATCAAGTTCAATTTTTTTCCAATCCACTGAGTAAAAAAATGACATCACAGTGTTGTGTCTATTTGCATTTCCTTCATAAGGAGCAAAGCTCCCCATCTTTTTATGTTTGTGGACCATTTGTACTTTTCTGCTGTTAATGACCTATTCACATTCTTTCTCAATTTTCAGTTGGGTTGTTCATCTTTCTTTGTATTTGTGAGGTACGTTTTTATTTTGTGGATACTAATTGTTAATTACATGTTTGACAAATATTTTTATCTCAGTCTATTATTTGTGTTTGAATTTAACTTTTTAAATGGTGTCTTTGAGGAAAACTTTATATTTTTATGGGAGAAAACGCAGTATTTTTTCCTTCGTGGATTTTAGGTTTTATGTGTTGCTTAGGAAGACCTTACCCCAGTGAAAGATTTCTCCATCGTCCCTTCTAATACTCTTGCAATTTTGTTTTTTCAAGGTGAAGTTTTTAATTCATTTGGAGTTATTGTAGTGTGAAGTAGATATATATATTTATTTTTCCAAAGTGTTCCAACACCATTTCATTCTTTCTTCTTTGGTCAAAAACACCATTTTTAAAAAAGATTTTATTTATTTATTTGAGGGAGAGAAAGAGAGAGTGAGAGAGAGAGAGAGCTCAAGATGGGGAGAGAGGCAGAGGGAGAAGCAGACTCCCCACCAAGCGAGGAGCCCAATGCGGGACTTGATCCCAGACCCTGGGATCATGACCTGAGCCGAAGGCAGACGCTTAACTAACTGAGCCACCCAGGTGCCCCAAAATACCATTTTTATTATAAACTAAATTCCAATTCATTTCTTCCTCTGTTTGGAGACTTTCTATTCTGTTCAATTGTTCTCTTTACACAGGAGTTAATAGTATTTTACTTTAATTACTATAGCTTTATAGAATAACTTGATACCAGATAAGTCAAGTTCCACCTCATTTTTCCTCATTTTTAAAAATCTGGTATGTTTGAGAATCGCTTTTCAAATTTCATAAAAATTTGAATTTATTAATTTGCAACTGATGTGACAGCCTTACAGTGTGAAACCTCCTCACCCAGAAACATAATTTCCATCTTCATTTATTGAGGTCTTCTTTTATGTTCTTGAATAAGGTTTTAAAGTATTATTTACATAGTTTTTACACATTTCTTGATAGATTTATTCCTGATATTTTATAGTTTCTGTTGTTTTTGCTATTACATTTCCTAATTGCTGGTGTAGAGATACTACAATACCTTATATCCAGCCATTTTATTAAAAATTCCTTTAGTTAATTCTCTTCGCTCCTCTCTGAAAACTCTTGTTAGTGTGACTGATATTTTGACCTTAGAGCCAAAGGTGTGAAATATATTCACGTGTCCTTTAAGTATCTGTAAGATTTCACATCCAACCAGAGAGAAAGAACGTGTAAGTACAGAATTCGATCGGGCAGTAAAGAGTTTAGGTGGACAGTTATCAGCAACCTCAGTAGGAGGTTGTGGACTTAAATCAGATGGAAGAATTGCGTATTTTGTAACGTGAACCCAAGAGAAAGGAATCCCATTTGAAGGGTTTATACTTGGAGTCCCTGTTGTCATAGCAACAGTGAAAGGCGCTCAAGGTGTCTATTGATGATAAGGGGAGAGAATCACACTGGATATACAGATCCCAGCTTCCTTTCTCTTAACCTATGTTTACTTGAGATGATAAAACCCAGTTTGCTAGCAGTGGTAAAACTGACCCCTTGAGGCAGTGTGTTTCCAATCTCATGGACGTTTAGAATTTAATATATTTTAAAGAAAATAAAACTTAAATTATTTTGTGTTATATTTAGCATAATTTGGGGTAGATTTGGATTTGAACGGGCATTAGGTTTCTGAGGGATTAGGCTTGTGATTTCAATTTGAAATGTGTAGCTGAATAACTGACTTTAGAATTAGGGATTTATTTTGGGGCACCTGGGTGGCTCAGTCAGTTAAGCGTCTGACTCTTGATTTCAGCTCAGGTCATGATCCCAGGGTCGTGACATCAAGCCCTGTGCCTGGCTCCCCACTGGGTGTGGAGCCTGCTTTAGATTCTCTCTCTCCCTCTTCCTCTGTCCCTCCCTGGCCTACAAAAAAAAAAAAAAAAAAGAATTAGGGATTTATTTTGAAACATGAGAGAATTTACCAAATCTGTAAACAGTATTGGAATGTTAAATAATATGAGATATGCTACACTTACAGGTTTAATTTATTTGATTTATAAAGTTGTATACATACTTAGAAAGGTTTTGCTTATTACAACAGGCATGTTTAAGGCTTTGAAGAAAAATAAATTTATCAAAGTTGTAAGTACATTTTATTTCCTTTAAGAGAGTGTAAGGTGTAAATAGAACTAATTGTGGGGGCGCCTGGGTGGTACAGTCAGATAAGCATCAGACTCTTGCTTTCTGCTTAGGTCCTGATTTGAGGGTCGTGAGATGGAGCCCAGCCTTGGGCCCTGCACTTGAGGTAGAGTCTGCTTGAGATTCTCTCTCCCTCTTCCTCTGCCCCTCCTGCTCATGCTCTCTCTCTCTCACTCTCTCTAAAATAAATAAATAAATCTTAAAAAAAGAATTAATTTTTAAAGAACTTAGTCTATAAAACTTAAGTTACTCAAACATTTTTTTTTGAAAAAGGTGAAGGTGATTGTTCATATTTAACAATACTTACAAAAAGAAAAGCAAGATTTGTAAGTTGAACTTAAAGGCTTAGAGAGAACTAAATTTTAAAATTTCTTACCCTAATACATTGAATATTCATTTTTAAATACACTAGTTGGTTTTACTGTGCAAATAAGCTAGTAATGCATAGCCATCACAAAATTCACACTGATTATTTTCTAAAATTTGAGTTAGATGATCATTTCACTGGAAAGAATTTCAGTTTTATTGCCTTCTTTCCCTGTATTTATTCCTTTATTCCTTTTTCTTGTTTATACATTGACAAACATTAGTGCAATGGTGACTATGTTTCATTTCTGATTGTCATGGTAATATTTTACTATTAGGTACGGAGCTTGCTGTCAGTTCTTGACTATAACTCATACTTTATTAAAGATATTTCTTCCTATCTTTAGCTTAAAGATTTTTTTTTAACACAAATGGGTACTGAATTTTGTCTAACACCTTTTTCAGCCTCTATTGAAAGATCATGAGCTTTTTTACGTTAATCTGGTAACATAGGGAATTACATTAATAACATTTCCTAATATCAAAATTTTCTTGTTTTACTATGGTAAATCCCAATCGGTCATGATATAGTAATACACTATTGGAGGGTTTTATTTGGTAAAATTTTTATATTTGTATTCACAAATGAAAGTGGCCTATAATTTTATCATGTATTATTTTTGTCCCTTTTTCTACTTCTTATAAACTTTATTTTTTAGAGCAGTTTTATGTTCACAGAAAAATTGAGTGGAAGGTATAGAAATTTCCCATATATCTCTTTCCTAACACATGCACAGCCTCTCCCACTTCAATAGCCCGTACCACATTGGTACATTTGTTGTAATTCATGAACCTACATTGATACATTATTACCACTCAAAATCCATAGTTTACATTAGGGTTCACTCTTGATGTTGTACATTCTATGGGTTTGAACAAATGTATAATAACATGTATCCAGCCTTATAGTGTTATACAGAATATGTTCACTGCCCTAAAAATCCTCTGTGCTTCATCTATTCATCCCTCCCCACTTTCCCCACCAGTCCCTGGCAACCACGGATCTTTTGTATCTTTAATTTTGCCTTTTCAAGAATATCATATAGTTGGAATCATACAGTACATAAACTTTGCAGATTGGCTTCTTTCTTTTTTAGCACTGAATAATATTCTTGTGTCTGGATGTACCACAGTTTGTCCATTCACCTACTGAAGGACATCCCGGTTGCTTCCAAGTTTTGACAATTATGAAAAAAGCTGCTATAAATACCCATGTGCAGGTTTTGGTGTGAACATAAGTTTTCAGTTCATTTGGGTAAATAACAAGGAGCACAACTTCTGGATCATATGGCAAGCATATGTTTTAGTTTTGTAAGAAATTGACAAACTGTCTTCCAAAGTGGCTGCAGCATTTTGTATTCCCACCAGCAATAAATGAGAGTTCCCATTGCTCCTCATTCTCATCAGCATTTGGTGTTGTCTGTGTTTTGGATTTTGGACAGTATAATAGGTATGAAGATATCTTGTTATTATTTTAATTCACCATTCCTAATGACATATGATGTGGAACATATATTCATATGCTTATTTGCCATCTGTATGTCTTCTTTGGTATGGTCTGTTCAGTTCTTTGGCTCATTTTTTAATTGAGTTGTTCATTTTTCTATTGCTGAGTTTTAAGAGTTCTTTATATATTTTGGATAAAAATCCATTATCAGATGTGTCTTTTGCAAATATTTTCTCCTAGCC